GGTTTTTATTTTTTATTTTTTTTGTCTTGATCTACTCAAGAGGTTCTGTTGAGAAGCTCTGCTGGATGTGAAGTGCCCTCATTCCTTCCTGTCTGGTCTTACTTTGTATTCAGAGCCACATTTCTCCAGACTTCAGCCAGGAAGAGAACAGGAAGAAATACAGCAGGCAGGAGAGCAGGAACACACAAACTAAACCCCGAGTGCTTCGGGAACCAACTCTAAACTAAACAAAACCAACAACAGATAACGCCACACTGAATCAAACTTCTCTGAAATACCTGTGAGCTTACATTTTGGGTAACGTTGAATGCTTTTGAAGTGGGTTATTAAAGTTATCATTAGTTAATATCCTACCTGTTGCAGATAGTGTTTTCAAACAGACTTTTCTCAATAAGTAATGTTTAGGTCTGACCTGTTTGATGAGGTGACACAAGGCCGGCTGTTAATATTACCAAAGGACCACATCCAGAACCAGAACTGTAGCAGAGTGCAGGACCGCAGCTTATACTCAGGTCTGCCAAATAAAGCAGAATTTATTTAGCTGCCAAGAGCAGACACTAACTGGATAATAACAACCTGAACCATTCATAATGAGAATTTAACTATGTTCAACATCTGGTAAAACATTTGTAAAATATATATATATATATCTGCACACTTTGCAGCATTTTAAACACCAGCATCAAATTAACAAAATAAAACAGTTTTGTTGATTTTTTTTTAAAAATTTTATGCAGTGAATGAATCTATTGTTGCTGCATTTGAAGATGGAGATGTTTAACATGTGAGTTAGGTGAAGGACAGCAGGACATCATCAGGAGAGGATCTGGATCTTCTCATGTGCAGAACAGTCTCCTCTCCACTTCCCCCGGCTCCCCTGAACTCTACATTCTGCATCAGTCTTCTTATTCTGACTGCTGACAGGACGGGAACTCAAAAAATGTCTTCTGTCAGTGGACTGAGCACTGCAGCCCACACCGGAGATGAATCATATTCATTCAACCTTTATGTAGACAGATAAATCACACTGAGCCTCAAAGACTCACTTACCAGTGAGACTGTTACATAAAATAAACACAACAGAAACACCCACTCACCTTCAGAATAAAAGCACAGCAAAAACTGCTTTCAGATATTTTTGATTTACATGCCCAATGATTTACATATATTTGTTTTTTGATTTGTCATCGACCTCCTGTGGCCCGACATACAGTAAGTATTATGCCCATGTGAGAACTAACAACTAGTCCAAGCAGGACCAAGACTAAATGAGACAGGAGCCATTTTAAAACAGCGTTGAGCTCCAAAACTTTACAGATGTTCATGTGAACCAGTTTAGAAACATTCTAACATTTTGCTATCTCCGACAACCAGTGACAGACCTTCCGGATCGATGGCGAAATGTTTCAGCACAAATAAAAAGAAACTGTCCAGATGACCTGACTGAAAAATGTTGGATTGTATACCTGGATTATTGAGCATGGACTTTGTTGTTACTAGAACTTGATTTATGTTTGGACAGTTTTTGTCCTGTTGAGCTCTGAATTGTCAAAAATAATAACCTCATCCAAACCATCCACATGCCTACTAGATCCCATCCCAACCAGATTGTTTAAAGAGGTATTTCCACTAATTAATGTCCACATTTTGGATCTACTTAATTTGTCTTGAATGGATGATTATGTACCACAGCGCTTTAAGGTTGCTGTAATTAAACTTTTATTAAGAAGTTTGACCTTGATTCAGAAATTCTGGACAACTATAGACCTATATCTAATCTAACTTTCATCTCAAAAATTCTAGAGAAAATAGTTGCAGGTCAGTTGCGTGAACATCTACAAAGAAATAATCTGTTTGAAGAGTTTCAGTCAGGGTTTAGAGCTCATCATAGCACAGAAACAGCACTAGTAAAAGTAACTAATGATATTCTCATGGCCTCAGACAATGGACTTGTGTCTATACTGGTCCTGTTAGACCTCAGTGCTGCATTTGATACAGTTGATCACAATATTTTACTACAGAGGCTTGAATATGATGTTGGGATTACAGGAACAGCTCTAAAATGGTTTAATCATATCTATCTGATAGATTCCAGTTTGTAAATGTAAATAATAAATCTTCTTCATACACCAAAGTTAGTCACAGAGTTCCTCAGGGCTCAGTGCTTGGACCAATACTCTTTACCTTTTATATGCTTCCATTTGGTCAAACTATTAAACAGCATGGGATAAATTTTCATCGTTATGCTGATGACACACAGTTATATTTGTCCATGAAACCCATTGAATCCAATCAGTTATTTAGACTACAAGCATGTCTTAAAGACATAAAAACCTGGATGACCCTAATTTTTCTGCTTTTAAACTCAGACAAGACTGATGTTGTGATTGTTGGACCTGAGCATCTTGAGAATAAATTTTTCAGTCTTTCTCTTCCTCTGGATGGCATTAATCTGTCCTCCAGCTCTAATATTAAAAGTCATGGTGTTATTTTTGATCAGGTCATGTCTTTTATCCCCCACATTAAAAACGTTACTAGAACCACCTTCTTCCATCTGTGTAATATCACTAAAATTAGAAACATCTTTTCTAAAGATGATGCCGAAAAACTAGTCCATGCATTTGTCACGTCTAGACTGGACTATTGCAATGGTTTATCTGGGTGTCCAAATACTTCTTTAAAACGTCTTCAGTTGATCCAAAATGCTGCTGCCAGAGTCTTAACTGGAGTTAATGGGAGAGATCATATTTCTCCAGTTTTAGTTTCTCTCCATTGGCTCCCTGTCAAATCCAGAATAGAAGTCAAAATCTTACTTCTAACCTACAAAGCTCTCAACAACCTAGCTCCATCTTATATTACAGATCTTATTGTTCCATATTTTCCTAACAGAGCACTTCGCCCTCAGGCTGCAGGTTTACTTGTGGTTCCTAGAGTTTCCAAAACCAGAATGGGATGAAGATCTTTCAGTTATCAGGCTCCTCTCTTGTGTAACCAACTTCCAGTATCTATTCATGAGGCTGACACATTATCCAGTTTTAAAACTTTCCTTTATGATAAATCCTATAGTTAGGGTTGGCTTGGGTTTCCTGAGCTATTCCTTTGTTATGCTGATAGGCTTAGACTGCTGGAGGACAAACTGACCACATTTCCTCACTCTGCTACTGTCTTTATTTACTCTACTCTATCAGTTTTGTATTTGTAATTATTTTTATCTTTAACATGTATTTTTTTTGTCTTTCCTCCTATAGAAAGTTCACCTGGATCTGTCATTCTGCGTTTTGTCTGTTTCGCCTTCCTGTCCTCTCAAACCCAGGTTCTGCTGGAGGTTTCTTCCTGGGAGTTTTTCCTGTCCACTGTTGCCTTTGATCAGGATTCTTTCTTTGCTCAGGATGGGAGACTGTGATGAAGTGAAGATTCAGCACAATCTGCTTCTTTAGAGGGATAACTTTTACAAATTGGCTTTTTCAATGTACGTGAATGTTTCTGCTCAGTGCTCTGAGATGACTTCTGTTGTGGCGTGGAGCTATATAAATAAAAATAAAATGAATTTAATTGTAATCTGGGTTGAAAAATCAGCATCTCCTCCACATTCATGTAGTTTAGTTTGTGCATGTTGCTACAGAAGTCCTGTTAGCTCTGACTGCTGTGTTTTTTGACCATCCAGACAAAGATATAAAAATACAGAAGTCTTTATAGACCTGCTAGATGGTTTCAGTGTTTCCAACTTACAACTGATTTGTTAAATAAACATCCTTGAAACAATTTATTTTAGCTACCAGGGCCTTCAATGATGAGCCTGAAGGCCCAGGGAGAGATTTCTTCGACCATACTAACACATGATGACTAAATTACGATTGAGCTCTAAAATAAACATACATTTCTAAAGCTGCACATTAAGTAAAAAATACAAATTTATCAGCTATTATAAAGATTTATTTTTATTTTTTAAAAAGAGTATTTCTATTAAAATGCATGTCCCTGATTCTGTTCACTGAATGTTTAGACCAGCAGAGAAGGCCTTGCTGGTCCTAATGGTCCACCTCAGCCTTCTATCTCATGGGTCTCTACACAGAACTCTGTGCAGCATTAGCAGCTAGCTGTAGCCCTTCTCATCCAGCCTGGGACGCTTCCTGACAGCTCTGCTGGAGTAATTAAATACTGTTAAAGTGAGGCAGTGTAAAAGTTTAGACAATAGATTCAGCATACATTGATGGGACTTTTCAGACAGAAGTTGTTTTGTGTGGGCAGAAATCCACATAGTTCTTGGTCATGTTTGGTTGTGCCTCAAATGGATCAGAAAAAAAGTTCTCATGTTCTACAACAGGTAGGATATTACTAGTAATAACTTTTCAGCATAACCCCACTTCAAAAGATCTGAAGGGTCCATTTAGTGAGCATGTGTAAACCTAATCACACATTGTTCAGACTCGGCTGTAATTTCTTCACCACAGGTCTGAAACTGGTCCATCTGGACATGTGATTAGAGGTGTGGTGGTCCAGAGTCCAGAGTGAAACAATGAGCCACAGTGTTGTTTAATCTTTAATACATCGGTACGGCTCAGGAGGAGGATGGGTGGATGAATTCCTTTCATTTCTGCCAACTCATTTTTCTTTCAGTCACAGTGAAGTGATGTCTGTCTCTAGTGGTGTGAAGTGGGGGACACCTGGACAGGTCTTCAGTCCATCACAGGGACACATGGAGACATACACGGATATATATATATATATATATATATATATATATGTGTGTGTGTGTGTGTGTGTATATGGTTTAAGAAGAGCTTTTTTGTGTGTAAAGAACTGCAGCACAAAGAAGGTTTTATAAACCTAAAGATGAATCAAAGTTTGGATGAGAACAGTCCTGAACATGAATGGTCACGTCAGCAGGATTGGCACGCAGCAGCTCGTGACGTCAGAGGCGGACGCTCCTTTTATGGTCAGAGCTCTCACTTCTCTCAGAGTTTTAACGAGGGAAAGAGACCAGACAGAGGTTCAGTTGCTTCAGCGGGAGTCTACAGACGGAATAGCTGCTTTTCTCTGGACCTGTCCTCTGCTTCAGAACCGAACCTAACGGGATGTGGCAGTCAGCTTGTCTTTGTGTGGTCCTGCTGTCCCGCTGCGTGTCCGGTGAGTCCATCACGTCCTCAGGTCCAGCATGGGGATCTTTCTGTCTGAGTTCCTGCTCTGGAACTGTCGGAGAACATGTTCTCCTCTGACTCCTGGCTCTGGTCCTAGTAATATTATCATAGTTATTATTATTTTTTTTTTATGTTGTTGTTGTTGTTTAGGGCTCATAATACCTTTGTTGACATGTTTACTCTGCAGTTGTAAGAACAGAAGTGTTAGCATCTATTTATCAGAGTATAATTACTTTATGTTTTTAATGAACAGATGTGGGTGTGAATAAACCTGAGAACAGCTGGAAAAATAAGTTTTGTTCAAAATTCTGCAACAGAAATGTTCTAGATCTGACAGATGTGCAGGTCTGACAGATGTGCAGGTCTGACAGATGTGTTCTAGATCTGACAGATGTGCAGGTCAGACAGATGTGCAGGTCTGACAGATGTGTTCTAGATCTGACAGATGTGCAGGTCAGACAGATGTGTTCTAGGTTTTACGGAAATGTTCTAGGACATACAGATGTCTTCTAGGTCTCACAATTTTTTTCAAGATATGATGAAAGTCTTCTAGGTCTGGCAGATGTGTTTTAGATCTGACAGATGTGTTCTAGATCTGACAGATGTGTTTTAGATCTGACAGATGTGTTCTAGATCTGACAGATGTGTTCTAGGTGCAACACAAATGTTCTAAGAACATATTCTGGTATGTTTGGACATTTTGTGTTTCTTACAGCCTGTATGAACTCAGGAGGAAGGTGAAGCATGAGGTGGTGGTGCAGATTGAATAACAACAACAGCACCAATAATAATAATAATAATAATAATAATAATAATAATGAACTCTGAGAGGAAGCATGAAATCATCTCCCATCATGCTCTGCTGCAGACCAGGTCCAGGTGGACCAGGTCCATCATGCCTGGGCTCTGATTGTCCTCATGTCCTCTGAAGACATCAGCAGCTCCGCACTCTTCCAGGACAGTCCAGGTTCCCTCAGACTCTTGTAGACCTTCAGCTGGGCCCTGAGGACCAGGATCTGCAGCCTTTACAACCAAAACAACAGTTTCTGCTGCTTCTTCAACTAAATCCAGTTTGAGCTGCAACATTTACTAAAAGACTCAAATAAAGATTTAATTATCTTTCCAAGTTTTGATGTTTAGTTCAGAAGAGAATCAAACAGCTGACGTTTATCAGGATTTTTAACTTTTAGGACAAAGGAGAAGACAAACCCACTGAGGAGAAACATTTTATTTAGACCTCCTTTAATAAAATCAAACCACTGAATTATGTCAATCATAAATACATTAAATTAAAGGTACCTGCCTTTGAAATAGTCTTTGCATCTCTGAATTATGTGAAGGCAGATCAATTTTAAGACCGTTTCATTTTATTTAAAGTTTTATTGTGTATTTCTGAAGGTCACGTCTTCTTATCCTTCATGTTCTGACTTCGTCTCATTTTTGTCCACACATCACAGAAAACTGGACCAGATCGTCGTGCTTCTAAACAAAAACATTTATTTTCAAGTTAATTTTGGTCACAAAGACACAGAGACACACAGCGTCAAACAGAAAGTAAATCACTAAAAAACACCTACAGTAGTTCCTCGATGATCGCGGGGGTTACGTTCCAGCGATCATCGTGATACGTGAAAAACTGCAAAGTAGGAACGCTATATTTATTTTAGTATTTATATTTTTAAGGCTTTATAAACCCTTCCCACACCCTTGGAAAGCTCTAACAATGTTCTAAAGTCTTAAACCTACATCATTTTACAACATACGTACATATACTGTACTGTACTGCGGATTTTTATTAGGATACTCACCAGCTCTGTTCCGGATCAGCAAACCTACCCTGCAGTGATGAAGCACTGCTCCATCCAGGTTGATGTGCGTGTGGAAAATGTTGAAAAATGCCAAAATGCTGCTGCCAGAGTCTTAACTGGAGTTACTGGGAGAGATCATATTTCTCCAGTTTTAGCTTCTCTCCATTGGCTCCCTGTCAAATCCAGAATTGAATTCAAAATCTTACTCCTAACCTACAAAGCTCTCAACAACCTAGCTCCATCTTATATTAAATATCTTATTGTTCCATATTTTCCTAACAGAGCACTTCGCTCTCAGACTGCAGGTTTACTTGCGGTTCCTAGAGTTTACAAAAACAGAATGGGAGGCAGATCTTTCAGTTCTCAGGCTCCTCTCTTGTGGAACCAACTTCCAGTTTCTGTCCATGACGCTGACACATTGTCCAGTTTTAAGACTGGGCTTAACTTTCCTTTTTGATAAATCCTATAGTTAGGGTCGGCTTGTCATACTGCTATAGGCTTAAACTACTAGAGGACAAATTGACATAATTTCCTTAAATAATTTGTTAAAATTAAATAGTTTTCATTTGATACTATTTCTATCTTAACATGTGATTCTTGACCTGCCATTGTGTATCTGTTCTTCTCAAACCCAGCCAGTTGAAGCAGATGGCCTCTTGTCCTGATCCTGGTTCTGCTAAAGGTTTCTTCCTCATGAGGGAGTTTTTCCTTTCCACTGTTGCCTTCATGCTTGTTCAAGATGAGAGTTCTGTGATGGAGTTAAACTCAAAGCTCCTCAGATAAATAATGTTAAATTATTATTTTTATATATGAATGTTTCTGTTCAGTGTCCTGAGACGACTTCTGTTGTGACTTGGAACTATAGAAATAAAATGAGTTGAATTGGATAATTGAGCTTTAGGATTTTTTGAGACTTTCCTGCCAGTTCTGTGATCTTAATAGATGGATGGTACTTCTGACTTTGCGTTGCAAAACTTTCCCTCCAGTTCGGCAGGAAGCAGCAGCCGGAAGCACTGTTGGCTTCTGGGTAGTGTAGTTCTTTTGACTTGCGTTACAGTGTAGGCTTATTGAAAGAAAACTAAAAAATAGCGGCCCCTGTCCAAAGTATTATTTCATTAATTTTTTTATCCCGTGCCGTCCCAATCACGTGAGTAATATTAAAGTTGACAATCGTGCGTTGTGTACAATTACGTTGAAAAACCACGAAATAGCGAGTCCATGAAAGTCGAACCTTGAAGTAGTGAGGGACTACTGTACATTCAAAATCACTATTGATTTCTACATGTCCATGTGTCCATAATGTCTGTTTGAAGGTCCGTTTGACTAAAGAAAAGGTGTGGATGAGTGAGGCTGGAGCTCTGCTGGTCCTGCTCAGTGGATCTCGCACAGTGTCCCCCACAGTGACTGGTGGACATGGATGGACCCTGCAGGGTGAAGCTGATTGTTGGACCTCAGTTTGAGCTTCCTGGAAGACAGACTCAGTCTGGTTTCTAGTTGTTATGAGGTCCTCTGGTTTAGTTGGTCTGAATGTCTCAGATGTTTAGACCAGATGTCAGCAGGAAGGTGGATCTGTGCAGGTCTCAAGTGTTTTGTGAAGACAACGTAGTGGACTGATGTGAGAGTCCAGGCAGGAGGTGCTGAGTCCAGGTTCTGCTCCGGGTTCTGAAGCCGAACAAATAAACCTTTTATTTAATTAAAATGTGTCATTTCATAAAAACAGAAATCATTTCCAGTGTTCGTGTTACGCCTCAAACAACTTTCTGGATTTGCAGGTTTGTACCCGGTGGCCTACAATGTCTCCTGGAAGTCCACCAACTTCAAGACGGTCCTGAGCTGGGAGCCCAGACCGTCAGCCGAGTACTCGTACAGCGTGGAGTTCTCTCAGTAAGTCCTCCAGTAGGTCCACCTCACACCGGCTTAGGAGCATTTCATGGTCTCCAGTGACGAGTTCATTAAAATGTGTCCAGTGGTTGATGAGATATTTTGCTAACAGACGTTTGTGTGTATTTGTCATAGGGTTGGAGGGGACAAACAGAGAAACCATCACTGCACCCGGTCCAGCTCCACCGTCTGTGACCTGTCTGCCTTTCTGACTGACCTGTCGGCCTGCTACACGGCAGACGTCCTGTCTGAACCCCCCCTGGGGGCCACGTCAGACCTCGTTGAGTTCCCCCACACCAGCTCCTCGTCCTTCTGTCCCTACAGAGACAGTACGTCCTCTGAATAAATCCCATGTCCAACACAGAGTTCTGTTTTCACACAAGTCCATCAAGTCTGGACCCCGAGGGTTCTAAAGGTTTTACTGCACCTGGTACTGGTTTTATGTTGGTCCCAGACCCCCTGAGGTGTCAGTGGTTCTTCATTTGTTTGAGTCAGACAAGAAGGACGTCCAACGGGACAAAAACTATTACTATTAAACTATTTTAAACTATTAAAATATTTTTTTAATATATAAAATTTACAACAGGTGTGTACATATTTAAGAAGACCCCAGAAGACAACACTTGGTGTCCCCGTCTTCTGCAGCAGGTCCAGCGTCAGGTCTATTCAGGTCCAACTCCAAGATCGTGTTCCATCTCTGGACTTTTTGTCCATTCAGGATCAAGCGCCTCTAGCTCCCTCAGGTTGGACAGTGCTGGTTGTGTCCAACAATCTATAAATCAGACCAGAGGTTCTCAGTTGGACTAAGGTCTGGACTTTGACTGGACCATTCCAGGACCTTTACCTGGTTCTCCTTCAACCATTGGAAAGTTCTTCAGCTCAGTTCAGGGTCATTGTCCTGCTGGAAGGTGGACCTCTGTCCCAGTCTCAGATCTCCGGAAGACTCTAACAAGTTCCTCTTCAGAGTTTCCCTGTGTTTTTGCTCCATCCATCTTCCCTGACCAGTTTTCAGTCCCTGCTGATGAAAACCCCACAGCATGATGCAGCCACCACCATGCTTCACTGTAGGTATGGTGTCCCCAGCATTATGAGAGGGGCTGGATCTGTCTCAGACATGATGTTTGCTCTCATCTGACAGGTCTTTCTGCTACAAGTCTGGTGAAGAAACTCCAAACTGTCCAGACTGTGGACTGGACCTCCATCTTCCAGCTCCATCAGGGTTACATTTGTCTTCCTGGATGTCTCCCTGTGGGTTTTGGTGGACCACCCTGTTTTAAATCAGCTCAGTTCAGTTTATTTATGTAGCACCAAACCTCAACAGAAGTCATCTCAGGGCACTGTACAGAAACAGTGAGTAAAGTTCTCTATGTAAGGAAGCAGCAGATTGTGATGAATCTTCCCTTCGTCTCAGTCTCCCACCCTGAGCAAGCACAGAGGAGACAGTGGAAAGGAAAAACTCCCTTTTAACAGGAAGAAACCTCCAGCAGAACCAGGCTCAGGACGAGCGGCCATCTGCTTCGACCAGCTGGGTTTGAACGGTTGTGGTCACATGATCTTTCTTCACTAAATAAAGGAATTCTGTGGGACGTTCAGGATTCTGGGACATTTGTTTCAATTCCAGCCTTTCCAACTGGTGCGGACAAATCCTTGGTCTTCATTAAGACTAGGTGAGGAGCTGAAGTACTGTTGGCTCTGCAGGTATCAGAACAGGTGAAAGGATGCTGAGACCATCGGACCCTTGAAGTGCTCACGGCTTCTCTACCTTTAGCAATATTTATATATATTGTAGGCCAGGTGAGCTGCTCGTTTGAAAAATGTCAGCAGTTTTACTTTTTAAAGAACGTAAAACAGACGAGTCTTGTAACGTTCTAACATTCTTTCTCTGACCTGGAAGAGATGAATCAGAGAACTTCCTGCCTCAGAGGATTCAGGATCAGAGAACCCTAAAAGTCCTGAGCAGAGACTTTTTCAGACCAGAGTCCTGCTTGTCAGCAGTTTATCTGAGTTAATGAGGGCTGAGGTGGTCAGGGACGGGTTCTTCTTGTCCTCAGACTGTTCACCTCAAACAGTGAAGGAACACACAGTCCACCTGAACTGGACCACTCCTTCTGTTCTGGTCTTTAAGTCCTGGTCCAGGACAGTGAGACGTCGCTGTAACGTTCAGTCCTCCATCTTCAGATGATACAATATAAACCTGTTTATGGAGCGGCAGAACTAGAACTTCTGCTCTGAGTGTTTCAGCTGAATGGACATATTTTCCTTGTCGTGACGAGTCTGATCCGTGCTGTCCTCTCCTCAGCTGACATCAGCCAGCCGGACTTTGTGATGAAGGTGGGCGAGGATCAGAGGACGGTCCTTCTGTACGTGACCGACCCGGTCACAGCGCTGTTCAAAGATGGCCGCCAGCTGAGCATCAGGGACGTGTTCGCTGAGCAGCTGCAGTACAGAGTCACCTACAGGAAGAACAAGAGCTCCGGGAAGGTGAGGTCAACCTCACCATGCTTTTATTTTGTAGAGGAACCTTTACTATCCACTGCTGAGGGTTTGAAGAATTAAATGTCTCTGCATGTGTGTGTTAGCAAAATATCTCACGAACCACTGAGCATGCTCCTTTCACTCCTCTGGTCTGGATCAGACTGTCATGCTGTCTGCTTGGTTCTGTTCTGCAGAAAGTCCTGGACTCTGGGAGTAGCGTGATCGAGCTGACGGGTCTGGACCCAGGGGAGAGTTACTGCTTCAGCGTCCAGGTCTTCCTCCCAAACCGAGAGGGCAAGCAGCTGGGAGACATGAGCCAGACTCGGTGCTCCTCAACCGACTCGTCCATCACCAAAGGTCAGCTTGTCTTCCTCTCATACAAACAGTCCAGTTCTAAACAGAACCAACCAAAAACTGCAGAACTCTTTGGTGCTGGTGAGACCAGGCTGAGACCAGGACCAGGTCAGGGTCTGGAATCTGGTTAGGAGACAGAAACAAAAGGATGAGCCGACTCAGAGAGAGGGGCTGGATGGAAGGAACTCAAAGACCCAAATCCAGATCGACCCACAAACAACCTCAGAACCAGTGTTCAAACACAGACCATCTCAGGCCGCTGTGGTGTAGAGGTAGGGCAGCCGGCTTAGGACCAGAAAGTTGCAGGTTCAACTCCCCGCCATGCCTACATTTCATGGTGTCTCTGAGCAAGACACCTAATCCCTAACTGCTCCCCCGGCGCTTACGTAGCTGCCCACTCTCCACCTGGGTGTGTCCCAGGTGTGATGGGTTAAATACAGAGTACTGTCTTTGTCATTGTATAGAAACAATGATGACATCACATCACACTTTCTTCTTCTTCTTCTTCTCCCCCACCTACCCTCTGGGACAGCCATCACAGATCCAGGATCAGTGGCTGAGGAACTGAACCACGTCAGTGTCAGGTGTGAGACCAGATCAGAACCCTAACCAGTCAAGTACTTTCAGAAACTGAATCAGTTCAGATCAGGTCTCCGTTTATGTCCTGTTCTGTTCTGTCAGCTGACACCTGCAGGTTACAGGAGGTTAATGTTTGAACGCTCTGCAGAGATGGAAAAACAACCCGAGCTCATTTTAACTCGTTTATCATCAGCAAGGAAAAAATGATCTGCGGGACGAAGGAGAATCATTCACATCAAGAGGAACCTGGATCCAGGTCAACGCTGAGTCCTCAGCTGGACGTTTGGGTCTAAATGTATGAAATTACAGGATTAGTGTTGTTGAACACAGCTCTGTCTGTATCCTGATGCATGCTCAATAATCCAGGCAGAGAAATATTAAAAAGTTAAGTCAGGTCCTCTGGACGGGTTCAAAAAACAAAACCATGTAGAAACGTTTCGTCTTTCATCTGAAAGACTTCTTCACTCGGCTTCAGGAGCTCTTCCTGGTGTCCATCCATCCAACTTTGTTTCTGTGGAAGAAAAGTTCAACAAGTAAAGTTTGACTGAACCTCGGAGCAGCTGGGAGGGGTCAAAGGTCAAACTACCTGGACTTGTCATCAATCTGCAGAGACGAAGATTGTTCACAAGCTGTCACTCAAGGAGTGGACGTCCTCGCAGGTTCACCCTGAAGGTCAGACCGTGCAGTGCTCAGAGAAATATGCTCCATCTCAGACTCTACAGCAGGTCAAAGGTCATCGCCACTTTACTCAAAAACATGCCAGCACAACGTGGTTTCATCTGAAGGAACCACTTCTGGACCAACGTCCTTTGAACAGATGAGACCAAAAAAACAGCTGTTTACCCAGAATGCACAGCAGCCCACAGATGCTCCCTGCTGCCACCCGGTGGTGGGGGCTGAATATGAAGTTAAATACACTCACGATGGTTCTCTGAACGTGAACTCGTGGCCTGAAACAGTTTCTTTGTGTTTTCAGAGTATTCTCTGGGCGTGGTTGCCGGTGGCGTCCTCCTGGCTGTCCTGGTGACGGGGCTGATGATTGGACTCACGGTGATCTGCTGCAGGCGCAGGAGGAGGAAGGCCGTCCCACTGCGGGGTGTATAAAGGGTTCCTATGGGACTGACTCGTTTAGTTTCTGTGAAACGGTTTAAAACACTGACATGAGTTAGATTAAATCAGTTCATTTAATGATTCTCTCCTGCTGAGTGGTACGATGACTTTATGCTCTTAACTTTATTTAAATGGTGTAGGATAATACTTGGGATTTTGTAAGTTTTATTTGTTGCTGAATTAACTCATTTATTTTTGTAATTGATGCTTAATTTATTTCTTCTAAATGAACAGAATCGTTCTGCCTGAACTTTTAGAAGAAGTTATTTTATGGTTTGGTGTAGTAAATACTTTTGTAATGATGTGATTTTAAAAGACATTTGAAAATGTTCAGTTTTGAACGTCATTAAAATGAGTTGTTGTATCACGTGCTGCAGTGATTAATATTTACTAAAACACAACTACTGGTCCTGCACTGAAATGACCTCAGCATACTTTGATCTGATCGTTCCTTTGACGTCAAAACAAAGCAGCTTTGACTCGGTTCTGGTTTGGAGCTCGTCTGTTGAAGCTCCTGGACTAAAAATGTCCCAGAGACATGTTCTAGTCAACGCTGACGATAACACCAGTCCTTCAGGCAGTTTTCATCCAAAGCTTTCCTCGGTTCTGTTCTGCGGACTTTGGGTTGTGATCCAACAGAGCTTTTCTTCTCATGGATCATTATGTAACCAGATAAAGGCCTTTAATCTTATTTTGATCCAAAAGCAGACAAGAGGTTCAACAAAACTGCAATTTGATGCTGGAGCAAAGGTTTGAAATTGTTATAAATTATTTAAAACACATTATTTAACTTCTTCATTTAACAAATTTATTATTTACTGGTTGGACATGGACATGATGTTTGTAAATGATATGATGAGTTACATTGCCTTGAGAAAGTATTCCCCCTTGAACTTTTCAACCTTTTGCCACATTTCAGGCTTCAAACATAAAGATATAAAATTTTAATGTTTTGTGAAGAATCAACAACAAGTGGGACACAATCATGAAGTGGAATGAAATTTATTGGATGTATCAAACTGTTTTAACAAATAAAAAACTGAAAAGTGTGGCGTGCAATATTATTCGTCCCCCTTGTGTTAATACTTTGTAGCTCCGCCTCTTGCTGCAGTTCCAGCTGCAGTTCCAGCTGCAGTTCCAGCTGCAAGTCTCTTGGGGTTTGTCTCTATCAGTTTTGAACATGGAGACACTGAAGTTCTGCCCATTCTTTCTGCAAAACAGCTGGAGCTCAGTGAGGTTGGATGGAGAGCGTTTGTGAACAGCAGTCTTCAGCTCTTTCCACAGATTCTCGATTGGATTCAGGTCTGGACTTTGACTTGGCCATTCCAACACCTGGATACGTTTATTTGTGAACCATTCCATTGTAGATTTGTCTTTATGTTTTGGATCATTGTCTTGTTGGAAGATAAATCTCCATCCCAGTCTCAGGTCTCTTGCAGACTCAAACAGGTTTTCTTCCAGAATGGTCCTGTATTTGGCCCCATCCATCTTCCCATCAATTCTGACCATCTTCCCTGTCCCTGCTGATGAAAAGCAGGCCCAAACCATGATGCTGCCACCACCATGTTTGACAGTGGGGATGGTGTGTTCAGGGTGATGAGCTGTGTTGCTTTTACACCAAACATATCGTTTTGCATTGTGGCCAAACAGTTGGATTTTGGTTTCATGTGACCAGAGCACCTTCTTCCACATGTTTGGTGTCTCCCAGGTGCTTGTGTCAAACTTTAAACAACACTTTTTATGGATATCTTTGAGAAATGGTTTCTTCTTGCCACTCTTCCATAAAGGCCAGATTTGTGCAGTGTACGACTGATTGTTGTCCTATGGACAGACTCTCCCACCTCAGCTGTAGATCTCTGCAGTTCATCCAGAGTGATCATGGGCCTCTTGGCTGCATCTCTGATCAGTCTTCTCCTTGTTCCAGATGAAAGTTTAGAGGGACGGCCGGGTCTTGGTAGATTTGCAGTGGTCTGATACTCCTTCCAGAGCTGCTGCCTCTCAGCGAGCAGGTCCCTGGTTCAAACCCCGGTCCAGGGGCCTTTCTGGGTGGAGTTTGCATGTTCTCTCCGTGCATGTGTGGGTTTTCTCCAGGTACTCCAGTTTCCTCCCACAGTCCAAAAACATGCATGTTAGACTGATTGGTAACTCAAAATTGTCCCTAGGTGTGAGTGAGAGAGTAAATGTTTGTTGAGAGAGTAAATGTTTGTTTGTCTCGTTTGTCTCCATGTGTCCCTGTGATGGACTTGCGACCTGTCCAGGGTGTACCCTGCCCCTCACACAGGGATTGCTGGACATGGGCACCAGTGACCCCCGTGACCCAAAATGGAAGAAGCGGGTAAAGAAAATGGATGGATGGATCTTTATGTTTGAAGCCTGAAATGTGGCAAAAGGTTGAAAAGTTCAAGGGGGCCAAATACTTTTGCAAGGCACTGTATGTTTTTGAACCATTTACACATATATGTAATTTATCATTTTCATATATGTAATTTATCATTTTCAACAGGAAAATTTCCAGAAAATATGAAAATAGCGAAGCTAGTTCCTGTTTATAAGAATGATGAGAAATGTGTGTTCACTAATTACAGATCAATATCCTTGTTGCCACAATTTTCAAAAATATTAGAGAAATTATTTGTAACAGGATTAGATGGATTTATAGATAAACAAAATATTTTAAGTAATAGTCATTATGGGTTTAGAGTAAATAATTCAACATCAATGGATCTCATGGAACTAATAGAAGAGATAACAACTGCTCTTGATCAAAAACAGTATTGTGTTAGCGTTTTTGTTGATTTAAAAAAGGCCTTCGACACTATGGACCACACAGTTCTCCTTGACAAACTGCATAAACATGGCATTAGAGGATTAGCACTACAGTGGGTATCCAGTTATTTGAATAATAGGAGACAGTTTGTACAGGTAAACAATGTAAGATCTGAATTTTGTGTTAATGGATGTGGAGTTCCTCAGGGTTCTGTGCTGGGACCACAGTTGTTTATTTTGTATGTGAATGATCTGGTTGACGTGTCAGGGCTTTTGAAGTGTGTTTTATTTGCAGATGATACCACATTTTTTTTGTTCGGGTGAAGATACTGAATGGATGTTAGAGATGATACAGGCAGAATTTGTAAAAATACAAACTTGGTTCCAACTTAAAAAGTTATCATTAAATTTGGAAAAAAACAAACTACATGATATTTAGTAATAGAAAGAAAATTATCTAAGTCTTATTTAAAATTGACATTACTGAAATCCATAGTTAATTAAATAAAATTTTGGGGTGTCTATTGATGAGAAGCTGACATGGAAATCTCATAAATTACTTAAGAATAAAAATAGCAAAATCAATTGCATTAATGTATAAATTAAAAGAGTTTTTGAATGACAACGCTTTGTATATATTGTATAATGTAATGATTGTTCCATATTTAATCTATTGTATTGGAGTTTGGGGAAAAGCAAAACAATTACAAATCCTATTTTTATTTTACAAAAAATATCTATAAGAATTATTAGTAGGAAGTGCTATGGTCACCCAACAAATATATTATTTAATCAGTTTAAATTATAAAAATTGTATGATTTGGTTGAATATAGTGCTTTACAAGTCATGTATAAAGCTCATAAAAAATATAACCCCAAAATATTCTATTAAAATTTGTTTAAAGTCATTATAACCTTAAGGGAATAGAAATGTTTATAAAACCTCCATTTAGAACTGGTCTGAAGGAGCTGCGTTGTAATTCAGGGAGCAGGAATGTGGAATTGCCTTGATATCACCATAAACATTTCTAAAACAATTTATAGGTTTTAAAAGATGATTAAGTTACAATTGTTAGGAAAGTATGGTGCCATGTGAAGGATGCCTGATGTTTTTGTTTTCACATTGGAGATATTCAAGCCTGACTTGTTTGTTTAGTTATTTTATTTTTTAATAAGGGGCAGATAGAAGATTTTTTTTTTCTTCATTCAATGTTTTTTTTTCTTTTTGATGAATTTGTTGGGCAGCATGGTGGCACAACTGGTAGAGCTGCTGCCTCTCAGCGAGCAGGTCCCTGGTTGAAATCCCGGTCCGGAGGCCTTTCTGTGTGGAGTCTGCATGTTCTCTCCGTGCATGCGTGAGTTTTCTCTGGGTACTCTGGTTTCTTCCCACAGACCAAAAACATGCATGTTAAGACTGATTGGTCTAAATTGTCCCTAGGTGAGAGCGAATGGTGTTTGTCTTGTATGTCTCCATGTGTCCCTGTGATGGACTTGCGACCCGTCCAGGGTGTCCCCCGCCCCTTGCACAGTGATTGCTGGACATGGGCACCGGCGACCCCTGTGACCCAAAATGGAAGAAGCGGGTAAAGATAATGGATGGATGAATTTGTTTTATTTTAAATGAATAAATGAATTAAATAAATTTATATTGAAGATGAAACCCAATTAATGCCACAAGTGAATACTTTGGCAGCTCACTGTAGAAACAGTGCCAACATTAACCTGAATGTTTGGAGGAAAAAAACACAAAGGTCTTTAGGTTTTAGCCTCAGATAAATCAATAAATACAAAACGTTCACAGACTCTCAGAGGAAGACGGTTTTAATGAAAACTGGTTTATCTAACAATTATACACGTTTATATTCCATCATAATGCCATTATTGTTATTCATATAAAAACAGTTAAGGCTGGTTGAAAATTTCAAAATAAAGTTGCCATAAAGTTCATTAGTCACATCAGGATCTGAGTAAAGATGGAGGAGTTACATATTTCTACACAAACTGCACTTTAAATCGTTTCAATCCACCCATCAGCAGCTTCTTTATTTATCATGATTTAAAATGTCTCATCAACTTTAAAGATGTCTTCATGACTCATGTTCAGACCGCAGCAAACAATCAAAGAAGTCTTTAGTTTTATAAAGAACCACTTAGAGCTGAATTGTTTTAGCTGGAAAATATTTTTTAAAATCACTTTTTATACAAATAAACTCAGAACTTACAGAAGTCCAACCCTGACTGGAAAAAAATATAAAAGTTAACTTCTCCATTAAAGTTTTGGAGAGAAAACTGTTCTTTTATTATCCTAAGACTGATTAAATAAATAAAAATATTGTAGGTGTGTCCCAATAGTTGTTTTTCTCCAGAAGGAGTACAAGTACTTCAGTTTGGGAACTTCTCAATACCGAGTACCTATACAGAGTAGTAGTTGGTACTTCAATATTACAGCGACTTTAGAAACACAGCAAACAGTCTGCTGTCCTAACATCACCCGTTTAGCTTCAAATGTCTCTAACCTATGGACATTTTTGTCCTCAGATACTTGTGAAGGGGAAATGACATCACCAAGCATGGTATCAGTCTGAAGCATCGGTATGACTTTACAAGTATGAGTATGATGCTGGTAGTGGTGTCCCGACATGTATACTAGTACCAGTATCGGGACACCACTAAAAATGAGTTGTTTCTTTAAGGTGTAGCTCGTTGGTGTTGGAGTGACGGTTGCTTTTAGTGACTGGAGCCAAAACAAACAGGTTTTCTTCAGGCGAGAAGTCTGAAACTGTTGAAACTAGACTAAACTTCATATTTCATCGTGTGAGACCAGTCTGCCTCATGCAGTCACTGAAGTCGAGAAGTCCCTGGAAGAGTTCTAGAGAATCCAGATCAGGATGAAGTCAGGATCTGACTGCTGGGGAGAGAGGCTCCAACAGGTCCAAGGGCTTTCCCAGGGCTTCTCCACATCCTCATGCAGGTCACAGGAGCTCGAATTTGAACACTTTCATAAGAATTGAGAGACAATTTTCTCTCGAGTGTCATCGTGAACGTCTGAGGAGCACAAGCAGTTCTCTGACAAAAAACAGTTCAGAAGATGGTCATTAAAAACTAGTCCAAATGTGCCAGTCTTCAGGTCTACCGGGTTCTCCCGTAGATTAAATCATAAACAATGGGGCAGTTGCTGAGGTTGGTGGACCACAGAATAATGTGCACGGTCATGAATACAGTATTACGAACCGTGCACCAAAAGCGGGACGGAGCTTTCAAAACCTGTTTGTGGCGCTCAAACAGAAACAGCTACAGCAGCGCCTGGTGCCCAACAGCTCACTGAGCTACTGGCTTTAGTCTACAATTTGTAGTTATATAGAAATATTTTAAGGTTTGTTGCTGATAACAGAAACCAGCCTCATACATGTTTAACACGCTAAAAACTCCAACGTGTGCCTCAAACCAGATTCACAGCTGCAGGAAAACTCAACTCTCAATCATCCCTGGAAACAGCAGAACTTGCGTCTCGTTAGGCTATAGGCTCATTCAATGTGAAGGTTTGAAGTGTTTCCTAAGGACAAAGTGTTTCGTTTAGCTAAATGAAAATCCATCCAGCTTTCATCATGATTTGGTCTAAAAAGAATTATTCAGAAAAGCAAAGAGCAAAAACGACAAAGCAATTATAAACACAAACTATTTGCCGTTATTATTTTATTTGGAATGATATGAACTAACTGCCCCCAAACTGCTGCTAACAAAATATTTCAGCCTCTGCAGGCGTGGAAAAGACTGTGCAGAGAGAGTGATGAGGATCAGTCTTGTTTTATGAAGGGAACAACAGAGGGCCAAACACACCACCCTGAGGTGCCCCTTCGCTCAGAAACCTGTGCAAGCACCTCCACCTTTACTCAAACACCTAACAAGTGAAACACAACTTGTTTAATTTGATCTAACCCCCAAACACAATCAAGAATCCTCCTGATTAAACAGAATTAAAGTTAAATAAACAGAAAACACAACTAAGTGATAAATGATTAAAACCATTATTTTCTAGTTTTAGTTCTTTGAGTGCAAACAATGAAAGGATGGTTTGAAACAAAACAGTGCAGGCATGGCTCTGATCAGCTGCCGTTTAGGAGCCAAACTCTACGGTCTCCTCAGTGATGGGCTTGAACTCGTAGTTCCCTCGGCCGTCCATGTGGAGGTAGAACTTCACGACACAGAAGAAGGAGGAGTTAGATAAAAGCAGCACAGCTCTCACATGCACAAATGGGTCAAACTAAGGCTTAAACATGACCAGACATGAGTATAACGTGAGTTATAAAGGTACAGAGGAGTAAAAACATTACAGAATATCTGTGTTTGATGTCAGATTACCTTGTGGTGTTTCCAGAGGGACTTTCTGTGGGACACTGTGAACAAGGTGATGCCCACCTAATAAAATAAATGATTTAAATAAATAAATAACATACTTCACAGGTATTCATACCACACCACATCAGAGGTCAGGTTTAATGGTCCCTGTCGTGTTCCAGACAAAACAACATACCAGAACAAAACATTTTCTTCAGCTGACTTCAGAGGAAAATACAGAAACCACTGCCAGCTGCTCAGAGGTACAGATCTGTCATTTAGCTCCTATTAAATCCCTAAAACTTATTTATTTCAAACATAAAGTGATCGTGGCACCATGATGGTCTAATGAAGCTTGTGTAGCCCTAACCTGACCACGTGGGCTCATCCAGATCAAGCTGGACTACAGTTCTGCAGTTACAGAACCAGAAACATTAAAACTGGTTCCTAAAGAATATAACTCTGTTTGGACTGGCAGGATGTTCCTGAGCGCCTTGTGTCAGACAGATGTGCAGTCCTACCGTCCTGCAGTGGCTGTAGATGTAGTCCTCCACATCAACGCTCACAGCACTCGTGCACTCGTCCAGAATGGCAAACTGGGGCTTGTGGTAGAACAGTCTGGCCATCTGCGTTCAGACACACGAGGAACGTTGGAATGAAGCATAACTCAGAGTTCAGATCAGAGCCCTGTTCATACAGTGCAACACTAAATCCTTTACAGCAGATATAAAACCAAACAGAAGAAAACAGCAGCTTTAGAGTCGTAAAAGGAGAAAACGATGACTGGAATGAGTTGTGAAATCTCTGGAGATGTATTTTTGTGTAAACATCCTTCTTCCTGCTCTTCATTGCTCCGTGTCTGAGATGTTTCCTTTTGGACTTCTCTTGGATTATTTACAGAGCATGGGATGGGAAGGACTCTCAGCTACTACCACATCCAACCTCAGCTCAGTATCTGTAAATCTGGCTCAGCAGAGACTCAGCAGTAAAATCACAAAGGAGTAACTCAGCCACTGAATACTCATTTGTGTTGTTACTGTGGTCACTTGGCTTTGGTGGCCATCTTAACTTGCGTTGACAAACTGTTGATCAGTTGTAGACGTACAAGAACAAATTACTTTTTGAGAATTTCAATAAAAGGTCTAATGGTTCATTAAATATTTTGCTAATAGTGAAGGAAAACAAACCCACAAACAGACAAAACACTATTTCTCTTAATGTCTTTAGTTGTAGACTATATTGGACTGAAGAATCAGAATCAGAATAAACTTTATTGGCATTGCACCGAGATACAACGCAAATATGTATGTACAGTCGTCTGAAGATGGGCGGAGTGCACGAAGCTGCGGCTATAAATAATTAGCGCGGCCTTCTTATTCTTATTCAGAATAATATTTTGCTTAGATAAGAAAAGGAAAGAAAACGAGGAGAGACGGTATAAAAAAAAGATCTCTCACACCGTGTCCTAGACAGGGCACAATTTGAGGCATCAAAAAAACCTACCACAGCAAAGCAACATAAACAGACGTTATACATTTACATATAGGCGGTGAAAACATTGAATTTTTAAGGGAAAGTCGTAGCATAGTCCAGAGCCCCCCCTCAGCCATTGTCCAGATAAGAGGTGACGTTCATCTTCAGCTCAGTTGAGGTTCTGTTACATGTCCACGGCCTTGGGGGAGGGAGGGGTGAGGAAACAGTCAAAGCATCTTTATTGTTTTCAAAACATTCCAGGAGGAAACACCAACGGTAAAAACAGCTCATTATATTTTCCAAGCTGTTCCTTGGACTACACTCTTCTGGACAGAGATCTATGATGATGTTCCTGGGATCTGTTGGAGCCACTCTTCCTGTTTGGGGATCACAGCACAGAGTGCTCCAAAGATCACTTGGGACTACTGACACCTCGACTTTCTACTACTTCTGCATTTCCTCTTTCTGTATTTCTCCAGCCTCTCGTGCTCCTTCTTCCTGATGTTACAGTCACTTGGGATTGTTACATCTATCACCACCGCCTTCTTGTATTGTTTGTTGACCATCATAATCTCCGGCTGGTTAGCCATCACCTGTTTGTCAGTCTGGATCTGGAAGTCCCACAGCATCTTAGCCCTTCCGTTCTCCACCACCCTTGGTGGCGTCTCCCACTTTGACTGTGGGACCTCCACGTCATTCGCAACACAGACGTTACTGTACAATATTCTAGCCATTTGGCTACGGCATTCCATGTATACTTTGCCTGCCTGGATCTTACATCTAGTTATTATGTGTTGGACTGTCTCAGGGTCATCTTTGCACAGCCTGCATCTTGGGTCTTGTCTGGTATGGTAGACCCCAGCCTCTGTTGTTCTTGTGTTGAGGGCCTGTTCTTGGGCTGCCATGACTAGTGCCTCTGTGCTGTCCTTCAGTCCAGCCCTCTCTAGCCACTGGTAGGATTTGTTTACATCAGCAGCAGTGGCTGATATCAAATACTTCTTCAGTATTGCTCAGTCTCAGACCTGGGTGTATCTACCCTTATGCTGTTTCCCTGCCATTGAGAGTACACTCTGCATGGTGTGGTAGAGAATATCCTGTTTATTCTCCTGGCTTCTGCTTCTCGAGTGCACCTCTTTAGGCGAGCAGCCAGAGCTTTGAGGCGTTGTTTGGCAGTCTCTAGTGCTTCAGGTATGGACAGGTTGGTGTTTTTTTTAGGTGGATCTTTCTTCAATGAACATTTCTTTTTTTCTGACAGCTGGATGATTTTGATTTCGCTGGACGATGTTGCCTTGATCTTAGCTTCCTGCCTCTTCCTCCATGCGGGACAATACTTAATTAGCTGTAGCCTTGATTGTACAGTCAAGCATTTCAAGGACCTCTGTTGCTGTGGTGTATACCAGCTTACTGGTCTCTGTGATGGTGTCAGTAGGAATACTTAGCAATGCTGCACTATACTTTGTCACTTAGCCTTGGAAAACGGTTCTGGGATACATCTATAGTAGCCTTTAGACACCAAATCATCCAGAAGGATGGCGATTTAATTTCCTGTGCACATCTACAGCTCAGACAGTGGACTGTGTGCATGTTAGTTCTTACAGCCATCCTCTGCTTCTCCCCTCCACTGAGAACATCCATCCAGTCCTGGACCGAGTCCCAGCTGCCCTCCCTGTCCAGGATGTGACCCAGCTGAACATTGTCCAGATACTCCTTCAACACCTGGACCATCAGAAAACATGAAGCTCATCAGACCCGTGCAGAAGTGATGTGAAAGGAGATGTAGGGGAGTGTTTGGACCCACCTGATCAGACATGCCCTTCCTCCTCTGTTCTTCTATGGTGTCAGGGTAGATAACCTGGTCCCTCAAAGAGCCCAAAGTCATGTAAGGTCTCTACAAACACAAGAGTCAGGACTCGTTCAGATAAACTTCATTCATCTGGTTTTATTAAGGAGCTGTTTTTGGTTTTAGTTAACCTTAGTCAACCAATGATACAAGTTCTGAACTAATTCATGTGTTTCCAAAACTTAATACACAACTCTCAACTACTACCCCACACATCATAGCTCGGTAAATCTTTCTACACTGTGGCCATGTTTTGTGTTTTGTAAGGGCACTTAGCTGCGCCGGACACTTTAAATTAGACTGACTCCAAAGTTCATCATAGACATATTGAGATTTAAGAATTAAGACCTGCAGAGTGAAACTAGCCTTAATTTTGTTTGGTTTGTTTATTTTATCCCCCCCACCCCCACGACATGCCCTCCCTGAAGAACTCTGGTGCCCCCTAGTTGAGGCACGCACCACACTTTAAAAAAGCCCAAGTATAAAATATGAATAAAGTAGATTAGTGTCCAGTGATATCAGAGTATGTGTTTCTTTTACATTCTTATTGTTTTTATTCAGAATGATGAGCAGATGTCAGTTCACTTTTTAAACAGTTAAACTAAAGTTGAGCTAAACTTGTCTGAACCTGAGCCATGTTGGTTCTGGAGGTCCCTTACCTGTGGAACGTAGAAGAGCTTTCCTCTTTCTGGTTTCGTCAGGGATCCACCGAATAACGGCCACAGCTGGGACAAGAATACAAACAAAACTCAGGACAGATGAACTCGTTCACCACAAAGTATATTCTGGACAGGTCCAGAGTCTGAGCTTTATTCTGAGTAAAATATATAAAAAGGACCACTACAGCCTTAATGCAGAACAAGTTCATTCATGTACATTTCCACATCAAAAGCTGAAAAGATCATTTTTACAACTTTTTCCAGGTAAACTTTTTATTTGCTTCCTTTAAATGCATCCTGCAGTCTGCAGTGAGTTTAATCCTTTTCTTTGCTTCAAGTTAGTCCAAAGGTTTCAGGAAACTGAGCTGATCCGTTCGATCATTCGTCCCTTTCACTTACACTCTGAGGAACCCTACATTACAGAAACTGGACTTTACTCTTCTACATTTCACTCTAAAAGTCCTCATCAAGTATAATTTACACTGAGAGCTGCAGATTTTAATACTTGGGAAGCTTCAGTCGTTTAAAATGAGTTAAAGTTCCTCCATCTGTTCAGAACTTTCAGAGTGAACCGGGCCTCATGCTCGCACACAAACGTGGTGTCACAAAACACCTGCTACACCAAGAACCAAATGAGAAAACCAGAGTAGTCCCAGACCAACTCCCTCCCTCCCTCCCTCCCTCCCTCCCTCCCTCCCTCCCTCCATCCATCCATCCATCCATCCATCCATCCATCCATCCAGTCAGTTCTGGAGTCAGGTTTCGAGGGCATCAGCTTGAGCAGGGAGGTCCAGACATCTCTCCACAGCCACCTCTTCCAGCTGTTCTGGTAGGACTCCCAAGTGTTCCCAGACCAGGTGTCCTGGGTCTTCCTGGGGTCTCATGTGCCCTCAGTTCCATGACAGTAGAAAGGTAACGTGTTTGGGTTCATGTGTACACAGTTTGATAGATTGTTTGTTTCAGTGTACGACATGTTCCAGTAGAAGATCCAGGTGTTTTTGTACATGAGGCTCAGGTTCAGTCTGAGGCTACTGCAGGCTGGTCAGTACACCAGGATTAGAGTTTGGAGAAAACAATAAGCTTTCCAGACATTCTTGTAAAGTAATGTCAAATAGTGATGTCCTTTTCTGTTTTCTGAAATGCTCTGAGCTCTGCAGCAGTCAGCTGAAACAAACCTGAACCATCAAATGATATTTCTGCTTCTTCTCGTACCCAAAGACACAAACTGGACAAATGTGGACATTCTTTTGTCTTTAGTGGAGGCATGAGGTGACCCCAGCACTCAAAGCTTAAAATAAAACTATTGTTACATTATAAAACTAAAACCTATAACAAACTGTTGGTATTGGTTGATATTTTTACATGTTGGGACACCTCTGGACTTGAAGGTGGCACCTGAAGTAGAGGAGTCAGCGCTCCTACACCCAACCTGTGAGCAGGTAAGTCTTACCTCTCCAAGCACTCTGAACAAGGAGCTCTTTCCACATCCGTTGGGTCCACACACCAGAACATTGGTGCCGGACCTCACCTGGATCACACAGAGAGGAGACGACCTGTTAGAACTTCTTACCGACTCACCTGAAGCCAGCTGTGGAAAACTACGACTAACTGAAGGGCTGGCATCACCTTTTCAGAGTTTCAGACGTTTCATCTTCTGATGAGAAGTGATCTGCAGTCACTGAACTCATAAGTTCATGCTCAGGACGTGTTGGGGGTGATTCTCAGTTACTACCACATCAAATCTTTAGCTCAAAATGAGTAAAACTGACTTCATACAACATTTCTGTGTTGGATAATATTAATTAACTGTGGTGGTCACCTTGAACTGGGATGACTCAAAAAAAGTTGATCAGTTCTTGATGCACATCCAACAATCACTTTCTGGAATTTCATAAAAATATGTCAGTGATTCATGAAATATTTTACTATAAACACGTTACTGCCTGCGTACACCTCTTGAAAACAGAAGATTCAAACTGAGACAGAAAACTGACAACTGAGTTTAAAAATCACATCTGAATAAACGTGATGAGATTCTAAAGGATGGAGTTGGTTGAAGATGAAAGGAATCCACTTTGGTTTGGCCTCACTCAGACCAAGTTCACAGATGCTGAGCTTGGTGTGGTAGTAGCTGAGAGTCATTTAAGAAGGGTCCAGACCCTGGTCCTCGTGGCCCACTATCCTGCAGGTTTTAGATGTTTCCCTGCTTCAACACACGTGTCTGAAATGAATGACTGGTGTCTGCTAAATGCAATGACATTCTGAGAAAGTAATTGAATGATTTGAATCAGGTGTGTTGAAGCAGGGAACCAGCTAAACCAGCAGGACAGTGGACCACCAGGACCAGGGTTGGAGACCTCCGATTTAAAAAATCAAAAGGCAAAGTCAAAGTTTCTTTATTTGTCGTTCCACCACATGTAGTACATGTGGTGGAACGACATTGTGTACACAGGGTTCATCAAGGGTTACATCAGTTACATCAAGTGACATTATCAATTACATAAAGGACACAATCGAAAAATAATCTAAGTATAAAAATGTGTTCATGATTAATGTTGCTATA